TCATGCCGTTTTATTAGGTTTCGTTTAATGCTTTACGTTTCGCTCTCGCTGCCCGCATGCGATTAACCGCAGAACTAAGCCGAATAAGCCGCCATGCAGTCTATAATGGTGATGGTGCTGCACTGCTGGCGCGCAGGTCGCGGGATCGGATCCCGGCCACGGCGGCCGTATTTCCGATGGAGAAGAAAATGCTTGAGGTGCGCTTAGAAATAAGTGCATGCTAAGTAACACCTGATAGTCCAAAAATTTCCGGAGCACTCCGCTACGGCGTCCCTCGTAAGCGTATCGTTGTTTTGGGACGTCGAACTCCAAGAATTATTATTACTGAACTACGCCGTATACGCCTTGCCCTGTGCACTCGAGGTCTTATTCGAGCCAGCGATTGCGGGCAGGATGGACGGACTATCATCGGCGCGGGAATTGTGCCGGGCCGCAACAGTGTTTGGTAGCGACAAGCAGAACGCGAGCGAGCACCGCAAGGTCAGCGATCGTCGCGCAGCACTTGTTTCCGGCGATGGCCAAGGTTTCCGTGCTCGGGCGTTTGAGGCGACCCCCAGACAAGGCACCGTTGTGCGTCATATCGGGTATCTCTCTCGGACGCCCTGGCCGCAGAATCTGTGTGGCACGTGTGCATTTCCGAAACAACTTCTCAGACTCGCGGGTTGACAGGGTCGAAAAGCGTTGTCTACCGTGCGCTCTTAGCAGGATATTCAAGACCTAGACGTTCTAACAACAAAAACGCTTGACTTTTCTTCTTCCCTTTGTAGTATATTTTTGTGGCAAAGTTGTTATCTTGTGCGGCTGTAGCTTTATTTAAAAAAACTGTTCGGGAACAATCATAAAGAAACCTTCTTTATCGAAGTCACCAGCCTAAGCTGGTTGTCCACAAGGAAGTTCACCTGTCCTTCGACTTACGTCCATGCGTCTCTTGTTCCAGCAAGCACGTCGACACACTCGACAGGCAGCTCAGACGCACTTCACCTGTGGCCCGTCGTGAAATGTTTCTGGTCAGCGTAATGTTCTCCGGTGGCGACAATGCTGGCTCGCTTGCGTACTTAGGACACCTCTGCAACACAACATAGTCACTTCCTTCGGGAGTTCCTGCTGGCCAAGCACTAAGACTTTTCCGTGGTCAGTTGCTTCTTGTATATCTGGGGGAGCTTAAGGCGTACTTTGGCTACAGAGGAACTCTGTAGTTTGTTCTGTCACTTTGGCCCAATCGGTCTCTTCTGACGTCTCTCTATCTGCCCGATGCAAGGTGTCGGTATCGCTAATGGCGTGCCCTATCTTCAACCTCACCACTGGTACTCCGTTGTGCGAACTGGTGGACGAGGCCATCGACGTACGCGCATAGCGTCTGTATACGATATGCGCGTAGCAAGAAATGTACAGCGGGCGTTAACGCAAGAACTTAATTGTGCGCATACCTCAGAACTGGTGGTTGATCGCCCTGACTAATTAAGACAAGTGCTCCTGTGTACACATTCGTTGTGCACCGTTGTTTATCACCCCTGGAATGTTTTGTTGTTGTTGTTGCTGCTGCTGTTGTTGTGTTCGTTGTAAATTCGATGCCCGCTATGGCGGAATGCGCGTTCACCTGCGCTTTTCGCCTGCTTCGCTTTGTTGTTTTGTAAGCTCCAGGGTTTCCGGAACCATTTACGCACCCCCAGTGGGGAAATATTTGGCCTTCCCGTTTCGTGACTGCTGTCGAGCCGATATATAAAGTGGGAAAACTAAATCGGCTGTACCGTGTAGAAGGAAGATGCGACTTTCGTTCACGTGCCCCATCACCTCTTCACAGACATGTTAGCATTTGATAAAAGTCGTTACCCGTAGACCGTATACGGATCACTTGTGAAGGGCAATCGATGTTACGATTCGAGAAATATATTGATACCGATCTGTATATGCACAGTGAGAGAAATCTGGACGCGGATTCCAAAGAATAGTTTGTGTCCTCACACGAAAAAGTGCTTGAGCCCAGTCGCTTCTAAGTAGCTCGCCCAAGCATAAACGTTGTTGATCGCTGTCGACACGAAGATGTGAGTGCCGTTGAACAAAGGTCAATTTTCATGAACATACTTACTAAGAAAATTATATAAGGAATAGTGGCTGAGGCCAGTCATGTGCAGTCTGGGCCGCATGCTGGCCGCGGGCCACGTGTTTAAGAACCATGACCTGAGTGAATGGGGTGGCCGCTGTGCGTCTAAGTTGTGCGCTAAGCACACGGGCGTTATTGAAAAAAGCCCTCTTTCAGACCTCGTTCCGCGGCCTGGCCCCCATGCGCCCTGGTAAGCCTTTGCAAGTCTCGCCACCGTAACACCTGAGTGCACGTGGAACGCGTTGCTTTCGCGTTTCGCCTGTCGCGCAGTCCGCGAAGAGCAGCGACGCCGAGGCCTTGAGCGTGAATCAAGGTGGCCGTCGCGCGTCAATCTTCCATGAGCGATAGGAATAAATAAAGGGCGGCACTTCTTCGCGGAGTCGCAGCTGCGGTTCTCTTTCTCTCGTGCCCAGGCGAAGAGTTCTTTTGATTTGAGTCACGCGGCGTGTGTGTCGATTGAGCTGTTTGTCCGCGCTGCGATGCTTTCTCGAGACGAACCGGGCACGCATCTGCGCAACGGAAGAAAACGCCGCTGCGAACGCAATTTCGCTTTCGTCGATACACGGCGTTCTGTGGCAAGTATATGTACACTGAGATTGCCTCGCAGATGGCGCTGAGTTAGGGATAAGAGTTAATGTTAGTAACCAGCGATTCGCTGACGACATCGCATTGACGGGGGATGAATCACAACTCCTGGTTACTGAACTAGACAAGGCAAGAGGAAGAGTACGTCTGAAAATTAATATGCATGAAACTAAACTGTAGGGGGCAACAGCTGCGAGAAAGAACACCGCTTTGCGATAGGTGGCGAGACACTGCAGGTTGTAAAGGAACACGTCTGCTTAGTAATGATATGTGGGGTCTTACGTCCCGAAACCACGTTAAGATTGTGAGAGATGCCGTAGTGAGGGGCTCCGGAAATTCTTACTTTGATGTGCACAGAAATCGCGTAGAACACGGGCTTTTCGCCGTCGCCGAAATGCGATCGCCGGGATTCGATCCCGCCACCTTCGGGTCAACAGCCGAGCCAATGGACCAAGTCTACTTAGGATAGGCAGTAGCCGCGGAGCCGAATCATGACAGTCGGTGACAACTTATCTCGACAGTGGAGCGAAGACTGCGACATGCGTGTTGCTCCACAAGCAGCTTGTGGCTTATTTCGATTTACTTTTGAACGCATCCTTAAAGCGTTTAGAAAAAAAACATATATGCATGAAAATTGTGAATAATAGAAGCGTTTAGATTGTTCAAAGTGCTATTTTAGTTTCATATTAAGAGTATGCTTTTTTTTTTTTGAGAACCAAATAGCACGCCTGCAGCCGCCCACTTACGTCACACACTTAGAAAATCGGGTGGATTAAAAAGGTGGTGCTGAGGCAGAAAGAAAAGCATTCTTGCAAAGTGAACAATAACTATATTTTGTAAACAATTTGCCGCAACTGTTTGCCTCATCGTAAATAAAGCAGTATTTATTTCAGCAAGAGAGATGAGTAAATCATCAGTAAGCTTTCGTGCGTTTTTCATGCGAAGTATGCATGCGCTCTGGTTCTGTAGCTTCCACAGTGCTGTCAGGAAATGTTGTCGCCGGGCGTAGAAGATGCCGTGCAGTACAGCATAAATGCTGACTTCAAGCTAGATTCGTCTCGCATGCGCATTGTGGATATATTCCCCGACTGTGATGTTGCGGCTCCGTGTCAGGTTTCCGTGTCATCGTGCTCGATTCGCCCGCTTGATTTAGCGCGAACAACGATCACTGCAAACCCCCAGTGTATAGGCGGAGAAAGCCGCAGTGCCCAAAGGAGTGATTTTCAAAAAATATTTCAGGAATTTTATGGGCCATCCTCGGCGCGAATACATTTAACATCACGTTAAACTGCTTGTTAGCTTGGCTCTCAAGGTGGGAGCGCTTCTATTCTCGAGGACGGAGGTTCGAGTCTCGGTCATTCCAGCTGTGTTTTGACGGGGGGCGAATTCACAAAACACCCGTGCACTTGTCTGTTAGATGCATGCTCTAAGGAACCACAGGTGTTGGAAATTAATATGGTGTCCCTCATTAGGCTACGTACGGCCTCATAATGCTATTATTGTGGCACGTAAAATTTTCCTGATTAGCTATGAACACTAGGTTGCGATTGTTTTTTTGCTATTACTTTTTTTTTGCTTTTGAGAATGATTGAGTGTCTCCGTTCGCTTGTATGCATTTGACGAACTTATGCGGAGAATTGCTCGACATATTCAGCCTATGCGTGCAATCCCGTTTGAATTTATTCGAATACTACGAAACACTGCATCTGCCACTGAAGTGGCTGGGGAAGAAAGGGGAGGAGGAGGGAGTCTCTTCCCCTTTAAATGGTTCGTGTAAACTGCGTGGGATTCGTGTAAGAAGCGAGCAACTGGTGCGGAAAAGACGATGTCTATTTATAGCTATAAATGTTATTTTCGCTTGACAGCGTGCGGGTTTGAGCCAGTTGTTTTCCATGTTGCAAATAAAGCCTACAGCAGCACTATAGCAGTGCGCTCGCGGTCCGTCGCACGGCTTCTTTTCAGATTTCATGGGCTTTCTTTACAACGTGGAAAAAATAACAGCGCGAGACGTATCGTACATGAAACAATTTAGTCGGTGGTTTCAGAAAGTGCTCTACATCTCAGTGTTCGCATTTTTGGTTTCCAGTCCATAACAAAAAGTTGGGTAATTAAGAATTAATAATTAATGAGTTTGGGGAGAAATAAAAAAATAGCCTGAGTACCTCCAGGCTAGTGCGAGAAGTATGCGTTTGGTTCAATTTGCCACTAAAGTGCCTTTCACTCTCAAATTCTTGGCTCAAGTTATGTGGGACACCCTGCATACTCTGCACGCTTCTCAAGCGGGTTTTACATTGGCGCCCTTGTGTGTGCGCAGATACACGAGAAACCTCGTCGACGAAGGCAACGGCAAATTCAACCTGATGATTCTTTGCTGGTCCGAAGGGCAAGGCAGCAGTATTCACGACCACGCCGACTCGCACTGCTTCATGAAGGTGGGTATCTAATTGCGACCAGCTGTATATCGTAGGGCATGTATGGTAGAGTGATAGCGTCTTTTTTAAAAAAGATAGTTCTTCTTTGGGACCTTAGACGCAAAAATTTTGGTCTGTCTCTCTGTCTGTCTGTACGTTTGCCTATTTCTCCACCCTTAATTTTACTCTAAACAGCATAAGTGACGAAACGATACTCCAAACGGCAGATCCCATCCGCAGTGCCCACCAACATTGCTCAAGGTTCAGCGTTCATACTTGTGCGATTGTCAATTAAAAAGCAATTATTGCGCATATCTGAGGCACTATAACACGTCAATGTTATGCATGTGTATTTTTTACTAGAAAATGCAAACATAAGTAATTTTAAGGATCGTAGCCTTATAGCGCTGCATGCGCTGGGCTTGCAACGCTTGCACGAAACGGCAAGTGTTTCCAACGATTTGCTAAGACAACACGGTGGTGGCGCCTACCCGTCGCCTTGCGTTCTACACCTTATCACATCAGGGATTGGCGTGCACGGCCTGCGCCCCGTGTTCCAGGATACTGCCAGATAGCGCTCATGTCTCATGTCCCGTGACTTGATGCGCTCGTTCGCCTCCAGTGCACGCTCGAGCCTGTCTAACGCAGCGCCTCCAGAATACCATTTACCGATTTTCTTGCGCAGAACATCAAATAAACGTATTGTTCCCTCTCTCCAGACACAAGTCCATCGTCTTTCGACGACATTTGCGGTATAGCACGCAGATACGGGGCCATTTTCTCTTGATGCAATTATCAAGCGCGAAACATTTTTAGCGAACGCAAGGTATTTTGACCGTATGGGTCTGTCTGTATGTTGTCTGTCCATCTGTCTGTCTCTCCCTCTCTCTCCCTGTAGTCGCCTACGGAGGGATACACACTCGCGTGGCAGCCTCTTCGTGTGTTCTACCAAAATTGCATAGTAGAGGAGGCCTGCTTTCACTTGTGACTCGGCCCACAAATAACTGCCTTCGTCCAATATCTCTTTTACAGCGCAATCCGTTATCAGATTACGACTACGGTCGTGTGCGTTGTAGTTATACGCCGTCGCCGCCGGCGTCCGTAACCACTATGGCATTTGATGAGAAAACAACTCGGTAAGTAAAAAACACCAAGATATAGTAGGACTGGCTTTTAGGCTAGTTGGCACATGCCTGAAATAAATAGTCAACTTCACACCACAATCACAACCACACAAAATATGTGTATGTACTTTCTTTGCATAGTTACGATTTTGGCACGAAGTCGACTATTTAATTCACACACCAAGGACACAAAGGAATTCCAAACCGGTTTCCCTGCACGCCAGGCCAGTATTCTACCACAGAGCCACGCCGCTGCTTCGAACTCTATTGAAACTAGCCCCAGACAGACTCGATGTTGAGAAAGGAATCGCGTTGATGTGAATAATGAAGCGTTTGGGAACTGTGAAGGAATATCCAGGTGTCACACAATGCGCATTGTGTAACGAGTGAATCGTCGAATGCTCCAACCAATTACAAAAGCTTCAACCATCATTCTGTAATGTTATCAGCCACAGCACCAAAAAATTGCACAACATTCCTTGCAAGTGTGTAGCTGGTACCACGCTTCTTCGAACAATGACAAAGAATGGCCCAGAGAGTGCCTGGTTACTATTCAAAAGTTATGATAATTTATGGCATAGTGGGTACCCTGCAAGTGGGCTTGCAACAGCTATCCAAAGAGTGGTAAAAAAAGGAGAACCGAGCGTTGGGTGAATTGGTATTGCATTGTGGTTGGGAATTTCGTTTCTTTAAAGAAACGCTCTGAAAGGCTGCTCTTCCAGCTTTCGCTGTGACAGGGCTGCGCCTTCCACGCAAGCCTGGCGGCTTTTCCTATTATTTCCTTAATATATGTATTTGCATGGCCTACGCGGATACCGCTGAGATCGAGTAACTTTGTTTCGCGAGGCACCCCACGCAGTCACCGTGTCTTGAAACATAACCGTGAAAAAAATATTTCAAGATCAGCATTCATATATACGAGTCCTCCTCTTGATCGTTATTGATATATGCTGTTCAAATGTTGATGCTGAATCTTTTTCCAGAAATTATCCTTCCGTAAGATACGGGACCTCAAATGCCGTCTTAGAAGTGGCAAAGTTAGCTGACATTTTGTGCTCGCTAGCCTCTTCCCCCTTTCTATCTCTTACCTTCAATGTGCCGGCCCTTGTGGTACTAAATTTTGTGACGGTGGTCTGCTAGCTCTAGTATGTTAGAGCCCCCCGGCATAGGAGTTCGTGGACGTATGACGAACGTGGCTGGCAGGTGATGACGTGAATATTCCGATGGGCTGGACGCGTTATTTACGAAATTCCCTGTCATGTGTGGTGCATACATGAATATTCTAGACCACGTGCCCTGGACCATGAATGCCATGGCGTGCAGGTATGCTCTTGGGGTAATTGCCTACATCAGTGGTAGGCAACGTTTTGAGGCACAGAGCTGAGTTACACGAAGCGGACGTGGTTAGGACTGGACACGTCAAAACAAAAGGGGCGAGGGTAGATTGCGGGAAAAAAGAAAAATATCGGTGAATCGACAATAATGCACAAAGCAAGATAAAAAAATCATGTTCATTTTCAGCGCGTATGTCCCAAGGTTCCAATTTACGAACTTAGGTTAAAACCAAATGAATAAATAGATGAAACTCGTTCGAAGTGTCCCTTGGTGCAAAACAACGATTCTTAACCAACTTGCAAATATTTACGTCAAGTTGCTCTCCGACACACGCAGAAAGTCAAGGAGGGTGGTGTCATCGGCTAATCGGGAACGCAGGCTTGATTTGATGACCTTCATTCTCGAGAAAGGCTATTCGCAAGCGTGTATGTTCACTGCGTAACACTGCCATCATGGCTGCCGCTAGTTTATTAAAATGGAAGAACGGAGCATGCGAGGCCAGCGCCAAATCTCGGACGGTGAGCTCCACATCTGGTGCTTAAGACACTGTCTGAAGATCAACCAGGGTCGTGGCCACATAAAACTGCTGGTATTGTTTCTCATGAAACTGGTTTCCGTAATTCGTTGTACCTGCCAGAACTTTTGCGGCAAGTTCGCCTTCGTGGTGTCTGCGCCGGTGCCGTCGGCGTACGCTAGAACAAGTCACGTGACCAGTGGAAAGGCGAATACCACGTGACAGACCGCGGAGAGAAGTTGTAAATGAAAGGGAGTGAGTATAGAGAAAACAAAATGAATTTCCTTGGTGAGGCGGCGTTTCAAACCGCGTGTACTTACGGCATGAAGATACACAACCGCTGGGCTGTAGACCAGCGCTTGTGCAGCATGATTTCATGGGAAACGTATAAATGCGAGAGGGCATTGGTCAACGTGGACCACTGGCCCCTCTAATTTCGCACTGAATGCGCGCGCGTCTGAAGTGAAGTTTATCTCTTCCTTTCACGCAAAAGCGAAAGCCGGGGCTAAAGGCTGTGGTGCTTGACAAAAGCATCGGCTCCTTTGTAAATCCTTTGTAAGCGAAAACGCGTAATTGCAGGGTCAGCTGAATTTGCCAGTAGAACAAAATGCTGCCGTTAAGCATGTAGCGTAGACAATATACAAAGCACAAATCAGATTTGGGTAATTATGTATTTCTTTGCTTTTCCAATAATTTCAACGCAACATCAAAATCAACATTCGTTGACATTTTTAATAGACTCGGTTACCTGACAATATGATTTTCGTTTGCCATAGTTTTTGTGCGTCCTAGGAACCCGGTTGATTTGTTTTCGAAAGTGGTATGCATCGTTAGACAAAGTAAAGGTATGAGTGTGTAGTTGCTTGCTCTTAATATACTGCAGCAGTCGAAAAGGTAGCCTTGGTTCGCTTTAAACAAATGGCAAGTACGGAACAATAGTAACGTGGAAAAATCTTTTGGTCTGTCATGGCACCCATGATTGCACCGCAAAGCTCTCCTTTGGAGTACTAGTATTTTTTTATAGTTAATAGCCGTAGTTGTTCCCCGTACGAGAATAAAATAGGTTAACTTAAAATACACACGCACATTATACATCTGCATTTTCAACCACAAGGGTTTTATACAAGCGACTTTGTGGAGGCAGCCAACACTTTTACTTCTTTGAGATGCTAGTTTTGACACGTGTGTTCCAGGAAAGGTTCTAGTGGAACCAGACGCCCAGAAAGCTAATGCAGTCTACCTCATGTATTCTTACCGGTCCAAATTGAATATGGGCCTTATATGACTTAGCTGTATTAATTGGCCCAAAAAAATGTACCTTGTTTAGGATAATTTTAAGCAAAACATATTGTCTTGTAGCTATGACTGCAAGTTTATAAGTACCTGTTTACCGTATCCTCTGCTTGTACCAGAGATTTTGCTGTAAAAGTTGTCATCCGCATAAATAACCATGTCATGATAGCCTGGTAGTTTAGTAATGTCATTAACGTATATAAAATCAATAGTGGTCCTAATATAGAGCCCTGAGAGACTCCACAAGTGAGAGTTAGTCGGTTAGGTGTAGCATCATTCACCCATGCGGGCTGCGTCCTATGGCGTAAATAATCCTGCACTAAGTTTAGTGTTACACCACGTACACCATAGTAATTTAACTTTTCTGAAAGGATATTGTGCTATGCGCAGTCAAACGCCTTTCCAAAAATCTAAAAGACCAAAAGTGTAGTGTTTGTGTTCTATATTGTCGCCGTGCCCACCACTTTAGATAGTAATTACGTCATGTCTCCACTTCACGGCGTCATACTTGAACGTCAAAAGCTCTCCCTAGCTTCATCATTACGCTCGGCAACAATCGCGCGTCGCTTCCCAACCTGAGCTTTGACTCGTTGCCATAAGCTCTTCCTGGGAATGTATCTCTTGCTACTACCTTCAAGATTCCCTCTTTCGTGCAGCGCGAACCGAACAGAAAAGCAAACTGTAGATTACGAGAACAGTTCGGTTCACGCTGTCTGAAAAACTTACTGAATCAGAACATGAACAACGCCGCCGCA